ACAATACCAAATTTATTCTTGGTTCAAATTAACCCTTATTTGAACAGCTAGGATAGATAGTGAGATGGATATTTATATCTACAATTCCCCTCTTAGATCATATCATGATCTACCTTATGGAAAATATCCATGGGAGGCCTGCGGCAGAGAAACGAAAGGAGGTATATTCAGACGTGCTAATCACGTCTGCAGGACTTTCGTTATTTCTTCACCTCGATTTCCCCCATTTGCTCTGTGCTGTAGTTTTTCCCTTTAAGAGGAGTTCGAGCTGTCAATTTTCAGCTTTTTCAGTTATCTGTTGAATACATCTTTTAAGTGTTCAAGTTAAATATTTCAAACAGCTGACATGTTAACCAATTTTAAACAGACTGCACATCATGTTATCTGTAACTTGAGCCTTGGATCAAAACAGGCAAAGTGTATTATTCCCAACAACAGGAATATTATTATTATAATTCACAATGTAAACACATATAGTCAAAATGGGAATAATATCTATTCCCCCTCTTTGGACCAGGGTCTTGGATTACCAGTCCACCCAGTGAACGCGGGCCAGGTCAAAAAACCCAGTGGCAAAAACTCAGATTTGAGGGAAAAAACACATCTGGGGAAACTCTAAGTGAGGACCATGACTGTGTAGACATGTCATCCCCTCACGTTGACAGCATAGCATTAGTGACTTATAAAAACCTGCACTTGTAAGTAAATAGCTCGGGTATTGGGATTGGGAAACACTTCTTGATTAGTTTGAATAGGCCCACTTACATATTAAATCATGAGATTTTTAATCAGTTTGCAATTTTAACAATAATCCCAATCATGACCTTGCATCCTATGTCTCCTAACCACATCCCTATTTCAATGGTCCAGTTATATCCACACTTAATACATGGGAATCCATCCTTGGTACACTCAACATACATCAATGGCACATATAGTACATCCATGCCTGAGTAAGCTAACACTTCCTCTCTCTCTGGCTAACTCTACAAAAATAAAAATATCAAAATAGTTCAATAGTCCAGCATAGTCCAGAAAAATAGAATAAGTATTTCAAGGAGTATAAAGAATTTTAGACACCATAAACTTTGTTCCATAATCTTAGACTCCATAACATAGCTAAGGGTAGCAATATGGCTGACAACAAGACAATGTCAGCTTCCACATAGTTCTTAATTCTTCTGTTTGCTGGATGTTCACCACAATACTCTGTGCAACACCTAAATTGTTAAAAGGGTAATACAGAAATAGCGGCATTACACAGCACTGCACCTTCACGAAGTTAGTTTATGTCCTCATAAGTAAGCATCTCAGTTTCTTTGGCCAGCATGGATTTTGACCAAACAGATTTAAGTGCAAAAAAGGTAGGTAGGCAGGTAGGTCAGCCAGAGAGATTGGTGTGTAGTCCCAAATATCAGGCAGCACAAATACTCCAGTACGGTCTCTATAATCATACAAACACAGGGATCAGTACGACATCAATAAATTAATTATCTAGGCTAAACTCAAATTAGAGACTAAAGTTAAACCCCTAACTTGTGTAACATGTACTTCTCTCAGTGTTGCTTATATTTCATTGAATTTGTCCTTTATAAAATTTTAGTCTGTTTCCTACACTTGCAAGGATAT